TGCGGGATTAAGCAATGAAGCCGTGCCAGCGCGGCTGAGTGTACCCATATCTAAGTGCGTAATAAATGTCGCATTCCCGGGTGAGGGTATATATGTTAAGAAGAAATGAAAGACTTGGATGCCGGGGATACAAGACTGCGGAGACCGAGCGGAGGTAGGTCCCCATGTGAGACTGTTGTGGGGGTGGATAATGAGGGTAGGGAAGGATAAAGCCAACCAGTGCCGGCCACCAATGGAGTGTATTGGATGGAATGCATGAACAAAATGTGGCATATCCACGAGTCATGGATTTATGGTAGTGTGGTGACGGAGATAAAGGAGGGGAGTGATAGGAGCGGGGATGGGGGAGAGAGCGCGCGTGAGAAGAGGATTATGTGTGAGAGGTGTGAGAAGAGAACGAGACACGGAGACCGGAGCGACGGGGTGTGGCGGAGGTGGTGTGCCGAGTGCGGAGTGAAGAAGAAGAGAGTGAAAGAAAAAGAAAGAAAAAAAAGTCCAAAGTTCTATTAGAGAGGGAAGGTGGATCAGCTGGTTGCCTTGGAGCTGTAGGGGTGGGTTAGAGGAAACAGAGAGTGCCTGCTAATGGTACAGGATTTTTTTGAGAGTGATACAATGTTCTACAATGGAATGGTGGTGCCAGGCAGTGGTGGGCTCATACCTGTAACTCCCAGCACTTTGGGAGGTAAAGGTGGGGTAGATCACTTGAGGTCAGGAGTTCCAGACCAGCCTGGCCAACATGGCAAAAACAAACAACAACAAAAAAATTAGCTGGCGCGGTGGTGGGCGGGGGTGGTACCGCGGCGCGTGACGGGGGAAGCCGAGCCAGAAGATGGCCTGGAAACGCGTGGAACAGTGGGCGTGAGTGCGAGAGCGGCGGATGGTCGGGAGCCTAACTTTTTTTTATGACTGGAATCATGCAACGTGTGGCCTTTCGTGTCTGGTTTCTTTCACTTAACATAATTTTTTCAGGGTTCATCCATGCTTTCATTCCTTTTATTGTCAAATAATATCCCATGATGTGGATATGCCACATTTTGTTCATGCATTCATCAATAACTCATGGTAGGCACTTGGGTTGTTTATACCTTCTAACTATTATAAATAAGGCTACCATGAATATGCTGGTATGAGTTTTAGTATGGGCATAAGTTTTCATTTTTCTTACATATATACCTAGGAATGGAATTATTAGATTAGATATGGTAACTCAGCCGGGTGCAGTGGCTCATGCCTGTAATCCCGGCACTTTGGGAGGCCAAGTGGGGGGCGAATCACCTGAGGTCAGGAGTTTGAGACCAGCCTGGTGAAGCCCCGTCTCTACTGAAAATACAAAAATTAGCCGGGCGTGGTGGTGGACACCTGTAGTCCCAGCTACTTGGGAGGCTGAGGCAGGAGAATGGCTTGAACCTGGGAGGCGGAGGTTGCAGTGAGCCGAGATCATGCCTCTGTATTCCAGCCTGGGTGACAGAGCAAGACTTCGTCTCAAAATAAAAAATATATATGTTAACTGTATGCTTAACCTTTTGAGGAACTGCCAGGTCATTTTCTGAAGCAGCTGCACCATTTTACATTTCCACCAGCAGCATATGAGGGCTTCCAATGTCTCCACAGCCTCACCTATGCTTGTGTTATATAATTCTATATATCTGTTATGTTCCATGTGTGATGTTCTGCTCTGTTGCCCAAGCTGGAGTGCAGTGGCGCAATCTCTGCTCACTGCAAGCTCCGCCTCCTGGGTTCATGCCATTCTCCTGCCTCAGCCTCCCAAGTAGCTGGGACTACAGGCACCCACCACCACGCCCGGCTAATTTTTTGTATTTTTAGTAGAGACAGGGCTTCACCGTGTTAGCCAGGATGGTCTCCATCTCCTGGCCTCATGATCCACCCGCCTTGGCCTCCCAAAGTGCTAGGATTACAGGTGTAAGCCACCATACCCGGCCTATATGTGATGTTCTTCTAACCATATTAGTGGGTGTGAAGTAGTATTTCATTGTGCTTTTGATTTGCATTTTTCTAAAGACCTATGATATTAAACATCTTTTCATGTGCTTATTGGCTGTTTATCTTCCTTGGAGAAATGTCTATGCAGATCTTTTGCCCATGTTTGAGATTAGGTTATTTTTCATTATTGAGTTGTAAGAATTTTTTATATATCCTAGATACTAGATCCTGATCAGATATACAATTTGCAAATATTTTCTCCAATTCTATGAGTTGTCTTTTCATTTTTGTGATGGTGTCCTTTGAAGCATAGAAGTTTTTAGTTTTGATGAAGTCTAACTCTTCTTCATTTTCCTTTGTCACCTTTACTTTTGGTTTGAAATTAGTTTTACTTTTTTTTTTTTCTTTTTTTTTTGAGACAAGGTCTTGCTCTGTTACCCAGGCTAAAGTGCAGTAGCGTGATCTTGGCTCACTGCAACCTCTGCCTCCCGGGGTTCAAGCCATTCTCCTGCCTCAGCCTCCCGAGTAACTGGGATTATAGATGTCTGCCACCATGCCCAACTAATTTTTGTATTTTTAGTAGAGACAGTGTTTTGCCATGTTGGCCAGACTGGTCTCAAACTCCTGACCTCAGGTGATCTACCCGCCTCAGCCTCCCAAAGTGCTGGGATTACAGGCATGAGCCACCACACCCAACATTATTTTTACTTTTAAATAAGAGTATATTTCTAAGAATCTTTTAAAAAGTAATAACATGTACAGGTATTAGGGTTTTTTCTTTGAATGCAAAGTGACAAAAAGAAAACATTTTTAAATAGGATGAGTCTCTTTGTGCAGATAATCCCTTGATTTTTGTTTAAAGAATAAAGATAATAAACATATAGAGCTGTAAACTGCTGACAGCACAGAAAAGAACAAAAGGAAAACTCAAATGCCTTTTACTCTCAGTCTCTCCTTCAGGGGGAACCACAAGAATAAACAGTTTCTTGTAACTACTTCCAGGAAAATAGAAACGTTTTCTGCATATACCTATGAATGTGAGGCTACACACACACACACACACTCACTCACTCCCTTGATCTCACGTTTTTCCATGTAGAAACTGTGTGGTGGTGGGGAGTTTTCCATGTGGTTGGTGCCAGGCAGATGGGGGGCATCATGGATATGGAAATCTGATTCTCTTACCATCTGCTCTGAGATTTTCTACTTCTTTATAGCACCAGGAATTATGTCATCCTCATATTTGAGTTCTGGGATATTTCTGGTAATAATCTCATGCTATATTATTTCATTTTGGTTTTCTGTCGGGGGAGTGAAGCCAGCTTGCTTCTATGCCACCATTTTTTTTCTTAAACACTTTTGATGCATGCCTTTTTAAAATTTTTATTTAATCATTTTTCTGGAAACAGGGTTTCACTCTGTTGCCTAGACTGGAGTACAGTGCGCAGTCATGGCTCACTTCAGTCTTGACTTCCTGGGCTCAGGCGATCCTCCTACCTCAGCTCCCCAAGTAGCTGGGACTACAGGCATGCACCACCACATGCAGCTAAGTTTTTTAAAAAATTGGTGTAGAGACAGGCTAGTCTCAAACTCACTATGTTGCCCAGGCTAGTCTCAAACTCCTAGGCTCAAGCAATCCTCCCACCTCAGCTTTCCAAAGTGCTGGGATTACAAGCACGAGACACGATGCTTGGCTACTCCCCCAACTTTAAAAAAAAAAAAAAAAAATCTGGTTTTGCCTTTATAATGCCATTGGCTTTCTGATGTAATTATTAACTGATTAAGTTTTAGGTTGACAGATAAGCCAAGTTTTAAACCTGGAAATGACATGTCTGTCTTTGCCTGAAGATGCTCTTGGATACCACCAGCCATGGTGCTTGAGTTTGTTTTTTCTGAGTCATGGGGAATTTTCTCATTATTTACAGAGTCCCAGTTGGCTGTCCTTGAGGTTCAGTGTCCCCTCTGTTTCTGTATATTCAGTGTATGTGTGTTTCTTTGCTATTGGACTAGGGCAAGTGTGCAATACTTAGTGTAAAGACTGTGCATATTTATATGACAGCACATCAGGGTTGAGTATAGCATTTGTGCCATGAGTTCAGTTCTGAGGACCTGGTTCTCAATGAGGGACATGTTACCCGCCCACCCACCCCCTCGCAGGGATATGTGGCAATGTCTAGCATATTAGTACATTCTCACATTGCTATAAAGAACTACCTGAGACTGGGTAATTCATAAAGAAAAGAGGTTTAATTGACTCAAAAGTTCTTCAGGCTGTGCAGGAAGCATGGCTGGGGAGGCCTCAGGAAACTTACAATCCTGGTGGAAGGCGAAGGAGAAGCAAGCATGTCTAACATGCCTGGAGAAGGAGGAACAGAGTGAAGGGGAAGGTGCTACACACTTTTAAACGACCAGATCTCCTGAAAACTATCATGAGAACAGCGAGGGGGACATCTGCCCCCACGATCCAATCACCCCCAACCAGGCCGCTCTTCCAACATTGGGGATTGCAATTTGACTTGAGATTTGAGCGAGGGCACAGACCCAAACCATATAATCTAGAAATATATTTGGTTGTCACAACTGGGGAGAGTGTTACTGGGATCTAGTGTGAATAGAGGCCAGGGATGCTCCTCAACACCCCACAATATATGGGACAGCCCCCACCACAAAGAACGACCCAGCCCCAAATATCCATAGAGCCAAGGTTGAGAAACTATGAGCTAATCCTAAGAAATTATTTTTCAGAATTTCCCTTTGCAATGAGTTGGGATGGAATTGTATTTTTAGGCAGAGTCATTGATTCAAAAAATTTTTATTCAATGCTTTACAGGATTCTTGGAAAAAAACAATGATCTTCTTTACAGACATCTGAAAGAAGTAAGTCTGACACTTAACTGTATGTGTTTCTGATGATTTTGAAATATTACCCATGATAGTGATTTTGGTAGAATTTGCCTTCTGGATTTTTCTTTTCCATGCATGGTGTTAGAACTCTGGCATGTCATGGCCAGAACAGATATTTAAGATAATCTGTGTGGACACTTCAGTCAACAAGCCATTCAAATGTGTATGGTGCCCCGCTGGGTACCAGCTCTGGAGGCCATCAGTGAACAAGATGGAGTTCTTGTTCCCATGGGGCTTACAGTCAGGAGTTGGGGAATCGATAATAAATATATACACAAATAAGTTATCCATCAGTAAGAAGTGCTACAAAGAGAATACAGAAGGAACTGTGATTGAAGGAGACATTTTTAATTTAGGTGATTACAGAAAACACCCCTCGGAGGTCACTTTGAGCTAAAACCTGAACGCGAATGATTTTGGCCATAGAAGGTTCAGAAGGTGTTCCAGGTAGAGGGCCCAGCATGTGCAAAGGTCCTATGGTCTGGACGATGGGAAATGTTAGGACAGGGGGCTGAGAGCTTGGCACGGGCAGGTCCACAGCGAAGTAGAGATTTCATTCTGGTGTCATGAGAATATACTGGGGTGACATGATCTGAGGAAGAGGAAGCTGAGACCCAGACAGGTCACAACTTGCACCAGGTCACATCATGAGGTGGGGGCTGGGGATGGTATTAACCCCCAGGGCTGCCGATGGAATTCCCAATCTCTTTGCCTTTCCATGTATCTCATCAATCTAAGAAGTGTTGTTGCTGCTGCTGCTGCTGTTGCTGTTGTTTTTGAGACAGTCTCGCTCTGTCACCCAGGCTGGAGTGCAGTGGCGCCATCATAGCCTACTGCAGCCTCAACCTCTGGGGCTCGAGTGATCCTCCTGCCTCAGTCTGGGTAGCTGGGACTTCAGACACACACCACCACACCCAACTGATTTTTTTGTTTGTAGAGACAGGATCTTGCTGTTGCCTAGGCTGGTCTCGAACTCCTGGCCTCAAGTGATCCTCCCACCTCACTCTCCCAAAGTGCTGGGATTGCAGGCTTGAGCCACCATGCCGTGCCTAAAACCTTGAGTTTTTAAGGGCCTTATTTTGTATTAAAATAGTTAACTGTTTTGTACAACATTAGCTTTTATTAGCTTGGTTTATAAAAAGCTTAACCCTAAAGGTAACATTTTCGGAGTGAGCAAGTGAATAGTCACCGCAGGAGTGTTTTTTCTGCCTTCCTGAACTTTCTCTACCACTTGTGGGACTGCTTGTCTCAACCTTTTAGGACTCAGGATAGATGAGCAACTCCTAACTTTGGATTCACCAGACAGTCGCTCTCTGGGTCTGAGTCCCAGCCCAGCCCCTTCCCTGCTGGGGACCACGTGGCAGGTTTCCCCATCGGCGAAGTGGGTCTGCTACTCTCTGCCTCATGCAGAGGAGAGCACGGGAGTGGAAGTGTCTGGGTGACAAATGAGAGACAGTGTTTTTCTAATGGCTTCCCCTCTGGGGTCATGGCCATTAGCTTCACAAACCAATCCACAGAGAGGGCATCACACAGGAAAAAATTCTCTGAATCTCTCCCTTCACCCACCAGGGCTGAAGCTCCCTGAACTTTTTGACTTCAGGAGGGAACACTTCTAATTTGTTTCTGTACTATTTGCAGGTTTCTGTTCCATATCACCATAGGTTTAGAACTGCAATGGGTTAAACAACAACAAAAAATTCAATTAAAAAAACCGGGGGGCCAGGATGTGTGTACGTGTATCTCCTTTTATCTTTTTCTTTCTCTTTGCACAATAATAGCACACTGTGTAGTTCTGCATCTTGCTTTTTTCACTTAACATCATTATCTTGGAGGTCATTTTTTTCTTTTCTTTTTTTTTTTTTGAGTCTTGTTCTGTCGCCCAGGCTGGAGTGCAGTGGCGCCATCTCAGCTCACTGAAAACTCCACCTCCCGGGTTCACGCCATTCTCCTGCCTCAGCCTCCCGAGTAGCTGGGACTACAGGTGCCCGCTGCCACGCCCGGCTAATTTTTTTGTATTTTTAGTAGAGACGGGGTTTCACTGTGTTAGCCAGGATGGTCTCGATCTCCTGACCTCATGATCCGCCCGCCTCGGCCTCCCAAAGTGCTGGGATTACAGGCTTGAGCCACCGCGCCTGGCCCATTTTTTTCTTTTTGAGACAGGTTCTCAGTCTGTCAGTCAGGCTGGAGTGCAGTGGCATGATCACAGTTCACTGTAACCTCGACTTTTTGGGCTCAAGTGATCCTCCCACCTCAGCCTCCTGAGTAACTAGGACCATAGGCGTGCACCGCTATGCCTAGCTGTTTTTTTTTTTTTTTTTTTTTTGGGGAGAGGTGGGGGTTTTGTCATGTTGCCCAGGCTGGTCTCAAACTCCTGGGTTTAAGCCATCTTCCTGTCTCGGCCTTCCCAAGTACTGGGATTATAAGCCTGAGTCCCATCATTCCTGGCCTGGGATCTTTTTTTTTTTCTGAGACGGCGTTTTGCTAACTCTTGTTGCCCAGGCTGGAGTGCAGTGGCGCAATCTCAGCTCACTGCAATCTCCACCTCCTGGATTCAAGCGATTCTCCTGCCTCAGCCTCCCGAGTAGCTGGGATTACAAGCACGTGCCACCACGCCTGGCTAATTTTGTATTTTTAGTAGAGATGGGGTTTCTCTATGTTGGTCAGGCTGGTCTCGAACTCCTCATTCTTAAAGAGCCAGTTTATTCTAAAGCAGCTGCACGGAACCAGGGACAATGTCTGAGAAAAAACAGCTAGCCTCAGTAAGTAGGCAAAGCAGTGGATGTAGAATGTGAACAAGGATTTCCATATTTGACTGTGTTGTTCCCCTTTCTTTACATTGGGAACCTCTGAAAGCATTCAACAAGCAGGTGGCTCTGTTGCTTCATGCACACTTCTGTGAGCCGTCCTGATAGCCCTGTAGCGATTTCTGAAACAGCGAACGTGGTGCTCATTTCTCTTCACTTACAGGTGCTGTGCAAGTCCAAGAATGTTATCCTGAGGGAATGCTTCCTGCGGGCGGAGTTAGAAAACCGGAGGAGGCCCCCAACAGTGAGTGGGATAAATGTCCATGCAAAATTGGAAAGGGAACAAAAATTCCTCAGAGGGTGAGATGACCACCAGCTACCTATGCTTTTTAGCCACCTTCCCCTTTTCTGGAAGTATATTACTCTCTAACAGATTCTACTAAATATATGCACCTGTAATCCCAGCACTTTGGGAGGCCGAGGTGGGAGGATCGCTTGAGGCCAGGAGTTCAAGATCAGAATGGGCAACATAATGAGACCCTGTCTCTACAAAAAAATCAAGATAAAAATCAGTGAGACAAAACTTGGGTGCATTAAAAACGTAAAAGAAAGAAAGAAAAAATCAATTAGCCAGGTGCAGTGGTGTGCATCTATAGTCTCAGCTACTTTGGGAGGCTGAGGCAGGAGGATCGCTTGAACCCAGGAGTCCGAAGTTACAATGAGCCATGATTATGCACTCCAGATTAGGTGACAGAGCAAGACCCTGTCTCTTAAAAAATCACTTGGAACGTGGCTTATATACATTAGCTTGGAACATGATATTCATGTTCCAAGTTTAGTCCCAGTTTGTTCGTTTGCAGACATTCATTGAGCAGCACCTACTATGTATATGTGGCAGGCACTGTGCCAGGCACAGGGGTTTAGCAATAACAAGCCAGATGAGGTCCCTGCCCTCAGTGGGCTTACAATCTAGTGGGAGAGGGTATAGGAAAATACCATCAAATAAAGAAGTTATAATAATGCCAGCATCATGAAGGACACATGTCAACAAAGAAACACAAAGGAAGGTGGCAGAGGGTGGCAGAGAATGACAGGCCTGGGGCAGCACTGGTTTCTGCTGGGCACTCACCACGTCTTTGCTGAGCAAGTGAGGCATCCTAGACAGATGCTTGTCCAGCTTTCACATGACCAGACCAAGCTTGGGCTTCCCAGGTGAGGACATCCAAAACCACCTCTTAATGGGCCAAATGGCCACTAGGAAGACAATCTGTCAATAGTTCAGCTCTATAGGGTTGACACCTTGAGCCCTGGCCAGTCTTCTCTGTATTCATTGGAAGCAGCAGTATCTCCCTGGCTCATTCTCTCTCTCTCTCTCTCTCTCTCTCTGCAGGTGGGGACTCAGTTTAAAAACAGTCTGAGCAGCCTTCTAGAAATCCTCATCGCTAAGGAGCCCTCCTACATCCGTTGCATCAAGCCCAATGACAGGAAAGAACCCAGTGAGTTGTGAATCATTATGAACTGGGCTCAGGAAAGGAGGCCGTAAGGCAAAGCAAGGTGGCAGTGGGTTGGGATCCTAAACACCACCACAGGCTCACCTGATGTCCTCTGGATGTGAATCATTTTCCTTTCTAAATAATAGAAGATGGCCAGGTATTACATGCTTATGCCTGTAATCCCAGCACTTTGGGAGGTTGAGGCAGGCAGATTACTTGAGCCTAGGAATTAGAGACCAGCTTGGGCACCATGGCAAAACCCCGTCTCTACAAAAAATGCAAAAATTAGCCAGGCATGGTGGCATGTCTCTACTAAAAATACAAAAACTAGCTGGGTGTAGTGGCACGTGCCTGTAGTCCCATCTACTCGGGAGGCTGAGGTGGGAGGATCAGTTAAGCCCAGGAGTTCAAGGCTGCAGTGAGCCATGATTGTGCCACTGCACTCCAGTGTGGGTGACAGAGTGAGACCCTATCTCAAAAAATAATAATAGAAAGTAAATGAATTCCTTTGGTGGTTCAGAGTGAGCGTTGCTCAGAGCTTGGTCATTTTCAGGAGCAACAAAGCTGAGTCAGGCAGGTGTCAGAGGTGAGGGGAGTCAACGTTGGTCTTTTCCAGTCAGGGAACAGTCTTCCAAAATGATCCATGACTCAGCTAGTTTCTAAGCTCTTGCCATGGTCTATAATGTAGTCGTTAGGAACCATTATAATGAATGATAATGAATCATCAGAGGCTCACAGAGGCCAGGCAGGAAAAGCAAATGAGTGAAGCAGACAGGTTGTAAGGCAATAGGGAGTAGAGGGGACTGTGGCAAACTGGAGAAGGCACATTCTGTCTAAAGGGGCAGCAGCGCTACTCCTCTCCTGCCAGCTATTGCCATGTGGGACTCTGGGCCCAGGATAGCCAGATCTCAGGACTTTTCAAAGGAACCAGAAATTTAATTTTTTCCTGTAAAATTCCCCCATTTAAAAAAACACAATTGGGCTGGGCACAGTGGCTCATGCTTGTAATCCCAGCATTTTGGGAGGCTGAGGCAGGTGGATCACCTAAGGTCAAAAGTTTGAGACCAACCTGGACAACATGGTGAAACCCCATCTCTACTAAAACTACAAAAATTAGCCAGGCATGGTTGGCGGGCACCTGAAATCCCTACAACTTAGGAGGCTGAGGCAGAAGAATTACTTAAACCCAGGAGGCAGAGGTTGCAGTAAGCTGAGATTGTGCCACTGCACTCCAGCCTGGGCAACAAGAGTGAAACCCTGTCTCAAAGATAAATAAATAAATAAATATAATTGATTAATTAATTAATTAAGGCCTCACAAAACAAGTCTGGGGCCAGACCCAGCCCACTGAACTTCAGCTTTCAGACTGTGATCTGTCTTGGTTGAAATGAAGCCATGGAGTCCTTTCCTGTCATTCTCTCTTCTATTTCTCCAAAGGCAAATTTGATGACTTCCTCATAAGGCATCAGATCAAATACCTGGGGCTGATGGAGCACCTGCGGGTGAGACGGGCCGGTTTTGCATACCGGAGGAAATACGAGCATTTCTTGCAAAGGTAAAATGTGCTTCATTGATCTGAAGCTAATAGTCATGTGCCTACTATGTGAGAATCTCTGGGGTTTAATGATAAAGAAAATGGCATCCCTTAGGAAGGCTCAGTTTGGTTCTTAACTGCTGTAGTTATGACAGCTAAAAACACTAACATTTGGGAGAATATAAAAACCCAACTCTGGGCCAGGCACGGTTGCTCACACTTTTAATTCCAGCACTTTTGGAGGCGGAGGCGGGCAGATCACGAGGTCAGAAGTTTGAGACCAACCTGGACAACATGGTGAAACCCCATCTCTACTAAAACTACAAAAATTAGCCAGGCATGGTTGGCGGGCACCTGAAATCCCTACAACTTAGGAGGCTGAGGCAGAAGAATTACTTAAACCCAGGAGGCAGAGCTTGCAGTGAGCCGAGATGGTGCCGCTGCACTCCAGCCTGGGCGGCAGAGTGAGACTCTGTCTCAAAACAAAACAAAACAAAACAAAAAGATAAAAACCAACTCTGGCTGGGTGCAGAGGCTCATGCCTGTAATCCCAGCATTTTGGGAGGCCAAGGTGGGAGGATTGCTTGAGGCCAGGAGTTCGAGACCAGCCTGGGCAACATGGCAAAACCCAATCTCTACCAAAAAAAGAAAAAATAATTAGCTGGGTGTGGTGGTGCGCACTTGTAGTCTCAGCTACTTGGAAGGCTGAGGCGGGAGGATCACCTGAGCCTGGGAGGTTGAGGCTTCAGTGAACTTGAGATCACACCACTGCACTCCAGCCTGGGTGACAGAATGAGAACCCTGTCTCAAACAAAACAAAACAAAACAAAAAACAAACTCACAAAAACTCAGTTTACTATCTTCGGTTCATTTCACTAATCCCTGTTTACCGTCAAGGGCAAGGCCAAGTGCGTAGACCTGCCACCAGGGGGCAGCCGTGGGCAGTGCCCCACAGGCCTCTGAATTAGCAGGGGAAGCTAAGTCCATTTGGGACCATAGGGCCTAGTTTAGTGCCTTAGCCCAACAGGTTGTCAAGAGCAGCAGGTTAGCAGTGGGGACATGGGTTTTCAAACCACACAAACTTGGGTCCTAATCCTCATTCTCTTATAGCTGTGACCTGTCATTTCCCTGATCTGTAGGATTAAATTGTCTGGGCTCAGGGAATTTGTAAAGATTTAATGAAGTATTTCTATGCCTATTCTCACCATCCCCCAAATTGCTTATCCACCAACACTTCTTCAATGATGGGCTGTGTGTGAATTTATGCTACCAAAATAGCAACACACTCTCAAGCATAATAAATGGTCACTTTGGTGGGTCAGAATGGTTGAATATCAGCAATTTCATGTGGCTCAACCTAATATTTTGAGTATAGTCATTTGAGATTCTTTGCCTTTATTTTTCCTGGATGTACCTCCTTTGCCTACCATTTTGGCCCATCAGCTACTCATTATTCATTCATCCTCATCCCAAATTTGACTTCTGTGGCAGATGGCAGGGGCAACAGCCACCGCCCACCTCGCCCCCCAAACACATACGAACTTGATGTTCCCATCTACCTGTGTTTTTTTTGAACTTCATACATCGATTGTCTATTTTTGCTGCTGTCTGAGGCTCATTCATTCTTTTCATAAAAACTAGTGAGCAGGCCAGGCATGTTCGCTCACACCTGTAATCCCAGCACTTTGGGAGGCCAAAGTGGGCGGATCACTTGAGGTCAGGAGTTCAAGACCAGCCTGACCAACATGGTGAAATCCTGTGTCTGCTAAAAATACAAAAATTAGCCAGGCATGGTGGTGCATGCCTGTAATTCCAGCTACTTGGGAGGCTGAGGCATGAGAATCATTTGAACCCAGGAGGCAGAGGTTGCAGTGAGCTGCAATCATGCCACTGCACTCCGGCCTGGGTGATAGAATGAGACTCTGTATCAAGACAAAACAAACAAACAAACAAAACTGGTGAGCAGCTATCTGAGCTAGCACTGTCCTAGCTGGGGTGACAGCAGAGAACAGAACAGACCCCATCTCTATCCTCATGGAATTTACTTTCTATGGGGGAGACCAGCAATAACAAAGATGTAAAGTTGGCCCTCCATACCCATGGGTTCCACATCCAAGGATTCAACTAACTATGGATTGAAAATGCTTTTAAAAATACAATGAAAATAACAATACAACAATAATAATACAAATTAGAAAGCAATACATATAACAACTATTTACATAGCATTTACATAGTATTAGGTATAATAACTAATTTAGAGATGATTTAAAGTGTATAGGAGGAGGTACTCAGGTTATATGCAAACACTATGCCATTTTTTGTCAGGGACTTGAACATCCGTGGATTTTGTATCCATGGGGGTCCTGGAACCAATCCGCCACAGATACTGAGGGGTGACTATATAAGGTCAGGCAGGGATATGTTATTTGAAGAAAAGTGAATCCAGGTAAATGGAAAGAGTGGCCAGCCTCCCTGCTTAGGTAAGAGGGTCACTCTCTGAGTGACGGAGTGAGCCATGAGGACATTTGGTGTCTTAGTCTGTTTGGGCTGCCATAATGAAACACTGGGTGGCTTCTAACCAACAGAAACTTCTCACAGTTCTGGAGGCTGGGAAGTCCAAGATCAAGGTGCTGGTAGACTCAGTGTCTGGTGAGGGCCAGCTTTGGCTTCCTTGTTTGTAGATGGTGCCTTCTCACTGTCTTCACATAGTGGAAGGGGCAGATGAGCTCATAAGGGCACTAATCTCATTTATGAGTGCTCCACCCGTGTGACCTAATCACCTGTTAGAGGCCCTGCCTCCTAACACCATCCCATTGGGGGTTAGACTTCATCATATGAATTTTGTGGGGACACAGACGATCAGTCCATAGCATTCAGGGAACATCAATCCAGGCAGGAAAGCCTGGAGGTGGGAGCAGGCTCCAGGGCAAGCTGAGAGGCCAGCATGGCAGCTGGTCAGTGGCTGGGGACAGAGAGGCAGGGGGAGGTTCACAGGACTGAGCTGGAGATGGCCGAACCCTGTGCACCTGCCTGGCACCACTTCCCTTGATCAGGGAGCAACCATATCATAAATTTGAAGAGGACAGAAGGTACTAGTCCCTCCAACCTACAGGCATTTAGGGCTTCTCTCCAGCCTCTCCTTATCTGTCTAACTGGCAGTGCGTGCTGGTATTGGGCAAGGTCTGCATGGATGAAAGCAGGGCCTGAGACTGTGCTGTGTCCCCTGCGGGTGGTGGAGACCCCATCTTCTCTAGCTTTCACTGGAGTTCAGGAAGCACACATCCTGCACCTTTGTGTAGCTGGCTGAACAGAGGAAGAACATGGGACACTCGATACCCTTAAAGAACATGCTCATAAAGTATAATTCCAGGAAAATAAAAATATTTTTTGCCGGACATGGTAACTCATGCCTATGATCCCAGCACTTTGGGAGGCCGAGGCAGGTGGATCTCCTGAGGTGAGGAGCTTGAAACCAGCCTGGCCAACATGGAGAAACCCCGTCTCTACTAAAAATACAAAAATTAGCTGGGCATGGTGGCACACGCCTGTAATCCCAGCTACTCAGGAGGCTGAGGCAGGAGAACCACTTGAACCCAGGAGGCGGAGGTTGCAGTGAGCTGGTATCACACCACTACACTCCAGTCTGGGTGACAGAGTGAGCTCTGTATCCAAAAAATATATACATGTATTTTTTTAACAATTTAAAATCTGATTTTAAAATAAACATAATATGAAGCCAGGCACGGTGGCTCATGCCTGTAATCCCAGCACTTTGGGAGGCCGAGGTGGGCAGATCACGAGGCCAGGAGATCGAGACCATCCTGGCTAACACGGTGAAACCCTGTCTCTACTAAAATATACAAAATATTAGCTGGGCGAGGTGGCGGGCGCCTGTAGTTGCAGCTACTTGGGAGGCTGAGGCAGGAGAATGGCGTGCACCCAGGAGGCGGAGCTTGCAGTGAGTGGAGATCGTGCCACTGCACTCCAGCCTGGGTGACAGAGCGAGACATTTGTTTGTTCAGTTTTCTATTGATGGACATCTGGGTTGTTTCCACCTTTTGGCTATTATGAATCATAGCACCATGCACTGCTACACCCAGTGGCTGCTATGAACATTCAGGTATGAATGTTCAGACACCTTTTCATTTCTCTGGGACAGATACCTAGGAGTGGAATTGAGTCACTGGGTTGAGCATCTGATGATGTCATTGTTCTACAAAGACAGGTCAAACTCCCTACTATATTGAAACAGTTTATCTCTTCTTCCTTTCTTGCAAAGCACCCATCTTTGAATTCGAGAAAGTTCGTGTGATGGGACTACTACATACAGTGAGTGGCTGACATGCCACAGCAGCGCTCAGCAGGCTTCTGGGGCCGGGGATGTGGGGGAGGGCTAGAGGAAGGTACAGTCACAGCTTCTCCATGTCGGTCTCCTCTCCTGCTAGGTACAAGTCCTTATGCCCAGACACCTGGCCGCACTGGCACGGGCCTCCAGCAGAGGGCGTGGAACGGCTGATCAACTACATCGGCTACAAACCTGAGGAATACAAGTTAGGCAAGTAAGTGACCAGAAGACCACCAAATGGTCTCTTCTTTTCCCTTGACATCAAAGGGTTTGTGCATTGATCCGTATCCATCTAGAGCCTGGAGACTCAATTCCTAGGGATGTATGGAGATTTGCAAGATGTATGCCTCATCTAGTCAATGTAAATGCAGCTCTTAATTATTTAGAAGAGCTATGGTGCTGCCGGTGGGAGGCAGTGAAGTTATAAAGGAACGCTCCGCACTAAACTGGCTCAGCAGATGGGCCTCCTTGCTGGCAAAACACAGGGAACCAGCGGGGCCACCTAACCTCTGTGTGCCTGGATTCTTTCACTGTTTCCATGTACGCGTGACCTGCCAGAGGAGCTGGGACCTAGACAATGTGAGATCATCTGTAGCATCTCAGAAATGGTGTGCTAGAACTCTTAACTGTGGAGTCTTAGTTGTCCATGAGCAGAGAACTTTCGTAGGCATTGAAAGCTTTCAGGCACAACTCAAGGGACATGAATCGGGAAGATCTGAGGCCGCCTTGTTAGTCATTTTGGTCAGGGTTAATGTGGTTGCAGGGAAAGGTGCCCCAGCGTGAAGATGTATTCCCCGAGGCAGGGCTTCCCCGCTCCGGAGATCTCCGCCTGTGACCCTGTTCGTGGGCTTTCCCCGCCGACTCCGAACTCCCGCTTGTACATGGTCCTCTGGGCCGCCTTAGCCTCTCTCCATCCTTGGGCTCCTATTCTGGGCCTGTCCCAAGGATCACTTACTTATTCAATCCAGATCTCCAAGGGGATTCTGCAAGGCTCAGCACATCCTGAGGGAGGCAGGGCATGGAGGTCAGAGGTGGGATCCGTCTGTCCCCTGTTCCATAAATTGGAACAGGGACAAGGGAGAGTGGGATCATCAGGCACCACCCACTGCTGCCCCCAGTGGCTGCCCAGGGAACTTTCCCTCACCAGGCCGAGGGTGGGGCAGGCAACGTGAGGTCAATATTTGTAGCCTCTCTGCTGGCTAATGTGATCTTCTTTTTTGCTTGCTTTTTTTTTTTTTTTTGAGACAGAGTCTTGCTCTGTCACCCAGGCTGCAGTGGCGCAATTTCGGCTCACTGTAACCTCCGCCTCCGGGGGTCAAGCGATTCTCCTGCCTCAGCCTCTCAAGTAGCTGGGATTATAGGTACACGCCACCATGCCGAGCTAATTTTTGTATTTTTAGTAGAGACGGGGTTTCACCACGTTGGTCAGTCTGGTCTCAAAATCCTGACCTCAGGTGATCTGCCTGCCTCAGCCTCCCAAAGTGCTGGGATTACAGGCATGAGTCACCACGCCCCGGCATGATCTTCTTTTAAGCTTAGATCCACATTCTTTATCTGGCTAGGCATGGTGGCTGGTGCCTGTAATCCCAGCTACTCAGGAGTCTGAGGCATGAGAATCACTTGAACCTGGGAGATGGGGATTGCAGTGAGCCGAGATTGTGCTACTGCACCCCAGCCTGGGCAACAAACTGAGACTCTGTTTCAAAACAAAAAACAAATTAAAAAACACCCATATTCTTTGTCATCACTCTTTAAAGCCCAGGAACATAACTTGAAGCAACTTCAGGTTAGGATGGTGTATTTATTTCCTAGGACTATGTCACAAATGATCACAAAGTGACTGATTTAAAACAAATCTGTTCTCTCTTAGCTGTGGAGGCCAGAAATCCAAAAATCAAGAGCTGGCAGGGCCACGTTCCTGCAGGAGCCTCTTCCAGCTCTGGTGGCTCCTGGCGTTGCTTAGCTGTAGCTGTGTCCCTCCAATCTCTGCCTCTGTGCTCACAGGGGCTCCTCCCTGTGTCTTTCTGTGTGTATAGGGACACTCTCAATGGATTTAGGGCCCACCCTATTACAGGATGATCTCATTTCTATCCTTACATCAGTCACATCTGCAAACACCCTATTTCCAAATAAGATCATATTCTGAGGTTCTGCGTGGACATGAATTTTTGAAGGGGGCACCGTTCAACCCACTAGATGGTAAACTGACCAATTAATTACAAAAACATTTCTTTTCACTTTTAGAACCAAAATATTCATTCGTTTCCCCAGAACTCTGTTTGCTACCGAAGATGCCTTGGAATTTTGTAAACATCAACTAGGTATGATTTCTTTTTCTGTCCTGATTTCAATAGAATATGAAATGAACAAGTAGAGCTTGGGGATACATCTTAAACATGGGTGTTTGATATAACGTTAGAAGCATTTACTTTGGAAACTAGGAACGAGATATGGGATTATGATAAAATCCCTGTGAATTTCTGTTTTCATGAGTGCTTGGAGGTCAGTCACAGATGCAGGCAGATATATAAACGTTGTTCTGCCGTCTCAGTTCTCGTTTGGATCAGATCCTATTGTTCACTACTAGGGTATAAAACCATGAGAGACCAGCCCCTTTAAATTAACGTTTCCAAAACGTCACTTGTCTGTGTGTCTGATGTTGGAAAGTGTAGCTTCAAAGCCTGCAGCCTGGGGGTTTGTTGGAAATGGTCAATGAGAAAAGTTAGATGGGGAAATGCAAAAAGTAAAAAATCAAAACTGCTGGGGGAGGGAGTGTCCCCTTTGAAATGTAACCGGTCTATCAAGAAGCACTCTTGAGTCATTTAAGGGCCTGCCATATGCCAGGTGAACACTAAGTCCTTTATACCACGGTCTCATTCTGTTCTGAGAACAGACCCATGAGGTAGGTGACATGGGTGTTACTGTCTTCACTTTCTATGCAGGGAAACTGAGGCACGGAGGTGTTGGTAACTTATTGAAGGCTACACAGCGAGTAAACAGCCGAGCTGGGGTTTGAACGTGGGTGTATCTGGCTTCAAGGCTTGGTGGTCTCATTTTCTGACCTCCGTAACAGTGGGCACCAATGGCTGGGGATGTGGCTGAAGGGCCACAGTTAGGCCAGCGGGGCCTGAGCCAGCATCTCTAACCGGCTCGCAGGGAACAGGACGTGGCTGCTCTGTAAGGCCCTTCATGAGCTTGGCCTCTGATAGGACCTAGATTGCTGTGTGGAGGGAGTGGATGCAGGATTGAGAAGCCGAGGGAGAGTGTTCTGTGGTCAGACCTGGGTTCGTGCTCCTCCTTAGCTGTGTTGCCCAGCAAGCATCTTCACCATCTGTCCGAACCTGCATGCCCATTTGTAAACTGTGCTGATGATGCCTGCCTTGTGGGCTGGGGTATGAGAATGAAACCCAATGCCTGGCATGGAACTGGGGGGCTCCTAGCACTAGGTCTGTTCCTTGCCCTGGGAAAAGGAAAGGCAGGAAGGAAACTCCAGTTCCCAGGCAGCATCTGGGAGCCAGGCATCATGTAACCAGCCAACTCTCAGGTCTGCAGTGCTGAAATGGCTTCCTGAAACATCACTACACACAGGCCTTTGATGCCCCCTTCCGTTATCCCCCAAACACCCCTGGAGGTCACAGCCACAAAGATGCACAAATACAAAGCCCTTTCACCAAAACATCTGTTTTATTTCAAGTTGCAAGAATCCAAGCCACATACAAAAGCTGCCTAGGAAGGAGAGAATATGTGAAAAAAAGACAAGCAGGTAAGAATTAGAAAGAAGCACATGAGTTTGCTCCAGTTCTCATCTGCTTGGCACCTGGGGGCACATCTGTGAGTTCTCTCCCCCTGCTCATCCTTCAAACCTTGGTGTGGGGTCCAATTCTGGGACCTCTTCTCATTTTTCCTTATTGATTGGATATTATAACATGGTGGCCTGTATTTGTTCCACAGGCATGTTTTATTGGACCTACAATATGTGTACATTTAAAGAATAATTTTGTGGGCCAGGCGCCGTGGCTCATACCTATAATCCTAGCACTTTGGGAGGCTGAGGCAGGTGGATTACTTGAGCTCAAGGGTTCGAGACCAGCCTTGGCAACATAGTGAAACACTGTCTCTGCCAAAAAACAATCAAACAAAAAACCCCAAAAATTAGCTAGGCGTGGTGGTTAACAACTGTAGTCCCAGCTACTTGGAGGGTTGATGCAGGAGGATTGTTTGAGCCCAGGAGGCGGAGGTTGTAGTGAGCCACGATGGAACCACTGAACTCCAGCCTGGGTGACAAAGTGAGACCCTGTCTCAAAAAAAACAAAAGAATAATTTTTGAAAAAGGTTTCAAACATACAAGTACCCTTGAAGCCCTTCCTTTTTTTTGTCCCTCCCCAGTCATGTTCTCAAACAATACTCCCACCCATATGCATACATTTCTTGGGAGTAACCACTCTCTTGAATTTTGCATTAATCATTCTCTTGTTTTTCTTCAGTAGTTTCACTATCTACAGATGTATCTCTTAATAATCTGTTTATAATTTGGCATGTTTTAAACTTAAGAAAACTATACTCTTGGTATTTTGGGTGACATTTTTGCACTCCAGATTGTTTCTGAAATTCAGGAGATGTGTGTAGATTTAAGTTATTCATTTGCTCATAGCTACATAGTATTCCACTGTAGCAGAGGTCAGCATTATAGGAAGTATTTTAGACTTAGGGGTCTTATGATCTCTGTCACAGCTACTCAACTCTGCCATGGTAGCAGGAAAGTAGCTTTAGATAATATGTAAATGAATGGGCAGGGCCGTGTTGAAATAAAACTTTATTTACATAAACAAGCGGCGGGCTGTAGTGGGCCAGCCTCTGAGCTATGAGTATGCCACAACTTAACTGTTCTGTTGATGGATATTTGGGTTGATTCAAGTTGCTTGTTTTTGTAATAGAAACAATGCTGTTCTGAGGATTAAAAGAAAAGCGTTCAAAAAATCTGAATACTCAAAAATAAAAAAATCTGAAGAGCATTTAAAAATTGGGAAACAGGCCGGGCACGGTAGCTCACACCTGTAATTTCAGCACTTCGGGAGGCCAAGGTGGGTGGATCACCTGAGGTCAGGAGTTCGAGATCAGCCTGCCCAACATGGCGAAACCCCGTTTCTACTAAAAACACACAAAAAATAGCTGGGCGTGGTGGTGCACATCTGTAATCCCAGCTACTCAGGAGGCTGAGGTGGGAGAATCACTTGAACCTGAGTAGCAGAGGTCGCAGTGAACCAAGATCACACCACTGCACTCCAGCCTGGGCGACAGTGAGACTCCATCTAAAAAAGAAAAAAAAAAAATTGGGAAATAAGCCAGAACCTAAGTTTTATGTGCCCTAATTTGTGTACCCCAATTTTTTAATGTAGACAACTAAAAGTAAACCCCAGTGAAACTAAATATGGTGGGAAGACTGATCTGTACCATCACAAGTGCCATTGCTGTGGCTGAAAAAGACCCTGGGAAAATGACTCCCTCATGTAATTTCGGGGCTTCCCCGGAAATCTTCCATAGGCCCCTCTGCTCTGTCTCCCCCTGGTTCAGTTGTTGCCTGAGTGCTCCCAGGTAAGAACTGATGACGTTCATCCGACCTTCCATCTCTGAGGCTAACAGAGTGTTGTGATGGGCGTCCAGATGTTTGTTGAATGGATAAAGTCTTCTGGAAAAGCCTTCTGTATTTCCATACGATTGTGCTCACCTTCTAATGCCAGCAGTGAACTCTTTCAGCCATCAAACTGGAAGCCCACTGGCGTGGGGCTCTGGCTCGGAAGGCAATCCAAAGGAGAAAGTGGGCCGTGCGGATTATCAGAAAGTAAGTTTTCAGGTACAACAGAGAGGACAGGTCACTAAACGCTGGTGCCCTGCAGGGGATGGTCATGGAGGTAGATGAGTTCTTTGTGATTTTTGGATTTGTGCAGAAAGGAAAAACTCCCTTCAGAATGCCATTAGGAATTCGGGCCCATCCCTTTGCTCTGAGCTGGATTTGATGGTGATCACAACTCAATGTATTTGGAATTTCTCTTAGCCTGGCTCAAAAGTCACAAAGTCAAATGCCTTCTGATGCCAGGCAGGTAAAGTGAGTGAATCTCATGAGCTGGGATAAGACAACAGGGCATGGTAGAGACTGCAGCAAACTGGAACGCTCAGTCCACCTCAAGGTGGGGCAGTAACTAGTCCATTCCAGTTGACTGCCGCTGTGGGGAAATGTAGCCAGATGGCTTGAATTTTCAAGGAACACTGAAATCTGGGTTTTGGAGTTTTGCTGTTGTTGTTGTT